TTAAAGATATGTCCTTTATAGATTTTGTATATGATCTTATTAATTCCAAAATCTTGTCTGATATTAAATCTGTGCAAGACCTTATTAATTCTAAAAATCTTTCAGATAAAGATTTTGTATATGACCTAATTAATTCCAAAAATATGTTAAATATAAAATCTATACAAGACCTTATTGATTTCAAGAATATATCAGATGAAAACTTTGTACGAGACCTTACTAATTCACCCAATATCCGAGAAGATAGACAGCAATTAAATGATGTTTTCTTTGAAGAATACAAAAATTGGAGAAAACCTCTATCTAAACAAATTAGTAAAATTCTGCAAAAAGAATCTCTCATAGATCAATTATCAATTCAGTTAAATAAAGAATTTAATCAAGAGAAACAAAACATTGAATCTCGTGAATTTAAAAGAATTTGCGATGTAATAGAAGAAAAATATCAAAATAACGGGTAAGTTCTAATCAACTAATTAACTAAATAGTAAATGATTAATCATGATTATTAATTTTTTTTTTTGAAAAAACAGAACTTTGCGGATGAATATAAATAGTATAACAGGTGATTGTTATAAGCCATTACAAATAAATAATGACGAGGTTTATTAACAACATATTATTTAATATTTAGTATTTAGTTCACACTCTGATGATTTGTTGATGATTGATAATAGTTACTTAATTAATCATGAGCTTGAGATAATTGAACCAAACAACTTCAAATAACAATTTATGAAACAGCATTAGATCAATCGGATAATTTTCACCTTCAAAATGAAGAATTTTATATTCCAACTCCAATTTTGCTTTCATATAATTATCATGGTCAATGTGGCGTTACTTTTCAGATTGATCCTGCAATTTACGATTTCAGGTATTAATTTAATATTTTTTTTTGATTTTCGTGTTTTATTATAAAATGTATATTTGTCTTACAACATTATAAATCACAGAAAAATATCCCAATTTGATAATCGCAAATTTCTTCTGGTGCTTTACAATAAAAAAATCCAAAAAATTGAAATCTATTTTGATACTGCTCAACGGTTACCAAAAAATTTTAAAGCATTAAAATCGCTAAATATGGACGAAAATTTTCTTATTGCTATTAATGAACCAAAAGAATTAATCGCAATATACGATACAAATAAAGTTGTGGTAAGTCTAGTTAATTTTTCATTGTATTTTTTTTAAAAAAAATCTAACTAATTGTATCTATTTTTATATAGTTGAATGTGATTTCTTTTAATGATGGACAAACATATTTATATACACGAAATCCAAATATCCAGTTAAAACAATGGTACAATAATACGGTCCCAAATCTCCAACATCTATTATTTATTAAAAATACCGAAAATCTTTGCTTTGTTGAAAAAGGTGGTCGGGCACGTATTTTTGATTTTAAACAAATGATATTTCAATCAGCGGTTTATAATTTTCCATCAAATTCTGCAAATGTTTTAAGTTCACCCGATGGTTCGTGTATTGTAGCGTTTGTAAAAGAAAATATTGGGTATAGTAGCCTTGATAGTGCTTCAGACAGCAAGGATGATGACACCGAGATTAAACATATTAAAGAAAATATTAATGGTTCTAATTATAAAGAAAATTATGACATTTCCTGGAACAACATAGAAATATGCCGTGCTCATGTTTACTTTTGCATAAATAATGGAGTTACTTTTAGTAAAGGTAACTTATTTTGTTGTTATTTATAAATTATTACATATTTAACTTTATAAAATTAATGCCTTCGCTTCTTTGTAGTCGTTGACTTACCAACTTTCTATTCCTTGGAATTCTTGCAATTTACTTGTATTAATAAGTTACAAACTCACTTGCTGATACTTGATTTACAAAATGGATTGTTTAACTCATTAATAATTAAGATAACCCTCGAAAAAACTCAATATCGATTCCAAAAACGAATGAAAACACAGTCAATTGGACATGTGAAGTTAATTGATAATATTATCGAAGGAGAAAATACTCTCTTTAAAAAAATCGTTCAAAATGGAGAATATATAGTGCTAATGGGGAAAAAATTTAGTGTGATTGAAGTTCTTTCTGACACAGAGTTAAGAATTGCTGGCAATTTCAAAAATATATGTGAATTTGATAATTGGACGGAATTCCGCATTGAACCAAAAACAAAATTAAATGGTCTTATCGATGCCTATAAATTAATGTTTGAAAAATATCCAGTTGACAGCTGCGTCTATCCTGAACAAAATCGTCCTCTTAATTTGAAGATAGTTCTCGATATTGTGAATAGTGATAAAATCGATGAATATGAAGAGAAATTTGAGGAATACATTTCTGAAATCTTTAAAGATTTGAAGAATTCCACAAAAAAACCCACAACAGTTCTAAAAAAATTTTCTACATCAGTTATTACTTTCGAGGAACTCGATATAAAAAATGTAAAATTTCAAAAGAAGAATTCATCAGAATATGAATTGGGAGATTGGATTATTCAACTTTGTTGTTTAATTCCTATACAAATTGCTATAACGAGAAATAACTTGTTTCAACCTCTCAGGAATGGATTATCTTCAAATTTTGAATTTGATGGTTATGGTCATGTGAATAATATTGCAGAAAACATTTCTTTTGGATGGTATGAAGGAATTTTCAAACATTTCGGTGACAAAAAAGTAAAAATTGTTTCTAGTATGGGTGAACAATCATGCGGAAAATCGTTCATGCTAAATCATCTTGTTGGGACTTCCTTTGATGGCTCTGCAATGGTAAAGTATTATATTTAATTTCTATAAATTAACTTATTTAATAAAATCAAATATCCATTTAGCGTTGTACTGAGGGAGTTTGGATGTCGCTAGGTAAATATATCATTTCTTTATATATCTTTGTATAAAGAGTTGTACTTTTTTAATTTTAAAAAAATAATATAAAATATACAATATAAATAGTAAATTCCAAAGAATTTCTTTATGTCGCCCTCGATTTTGAAGGTTTAAATTCTCTTGAGAGAAGCGCTCAAGAAGGTAAGTTTCAATTTTTAATATGTAACTTATCCTTTCAAATAGATATACATGATATTTAATTTTGTTTTGTTTTAGACCTATTTTTAGCACTGTTTAATACCGTCATTTCAAATCTAATACTTTTTAAGGTAAATATCGCCTTATTGTTTATTCATTTTTTGCAAATTTACTCATTTATATCCTTTAAATTTAAAACAGAATCAATTTGCAGTTAATAGAGATATTTCTTCAATGTTCCAAAGATTTCAAGACGGTGCAATGTTATTTGAATCAGATTCCAAATTATTTCAGGTTAAAAGATTAATGTTTTTATTACTATTTATATAAAGGTTTTAAATTATTAATTTCTTTAATGATTTAGGCAAAACTTTGTGTTATTATAAAAGATGTGGCGAAGAACGATAGAGAAGGAATTGTTCAAGAATTTCATCTAAGATTTTCTCAATTGGTTTCAGAGGTATATTATTATTAAATATTTTTTTGTTTTTTTTATTGCAAGTTCAATTTATTTTTTTAAAAAAAAATGATTTAATGTATTAAGGAAGGTGAAGATAATTTCGTCTCAAGAATGTATCAAGGTGGATTGGATATCATTGCTTGGCCAATGTTTAATGATGTTGCATGGTTTAAGACATTATCAAAATTGAATAAAAGGTTAGATATGCAGGATGCCAAATATGGTAATGCACGAACCTTTCTACAAAATACGAAAGTAATTATGTCTAAATTAAAGGTTCGTACTAATTATACAAAGTATGTTACTATCTTCTAAATAACATTTATTTTGACCAGAAAGTATTTTATTTTTTGCTAAATTTAGATTTGTGATTGGCGATCGTTAGATGAAAACCTCATACAAATTCGTATAGTAACATTAAAAAGATTACTTGTCACTGTAGTTTCTTATGGTTTGGAGCAAAATGACTCTGCAATTGAACAACTTATGGTAAATTTTATAACATGACAATTTTGACAATTTTATAAAATTTATAAAATTTATTTATTAATTTTTAATTTCATTAGAATCACGATACTCAGACACCGATTGATGACCCAATAGCCAATTTCTCTGATATTTTACATGACTTCAAAGATTCCGATCGAATAAAACCGGATGCTGGTCTCCAATTATACGGTGAATACGAATCCTTTGCCAAACTTTCAGAAGATATAAGAAATTATTTTGAAGAAATTGTACAGCCACGAAAAGATTCATCTGATGATGCCAAATGGTTCTCCGACTTAAATGGATTCATTAAGTATATTATTCAACGCCGAGTGTTGCGTGTTCAAGATTGGTATATGCAAAATACCGCCAAGTTTTCTCAGCAAAAAAAACAAAATGGTGACATTGTTAACGGCAAATATGCAATGGAGCAAGAAATAAGCAAACTTATTCTTTTATGGACATTGTGTGGATTAACATGTCATCATTGTGGTTTAAAATGTGTTAAAAATCGTGACCACGAAGAAAATCATGATTGTTTAACGGATCACGAGTGTAAATTTCTTTGCCACTTCACAGTAATTCACAACAGAAAACCAGTTCCAACATGTGGTTATAAAGCCGGACATGAAGGTAAACATGTTTGCAAAGAAGAGAATCATTTGTGTGGTGAATCATGTAGCCTTAATGATAAGCGTAACTGCCAACAAGTCTGCTCAAAAGAAATCGGACATGAGGATGAGCATCTTTGTCCATCTTCACGTCATTATTGTGGAGAAGATTGTTCATTAACAACAAAAACTCAGAAAGGATATTACCATTGTCTTAATAAATGCATTATGCCATATGAAGAAGTGCATAATTTACACCGCTGTGAAAATGAGACGTGTCCGATTCAATGTCCAATTTTAGATTGTCAGAGAAAATGTCAAAGCAATGAACATTTTCACTGTGATACTAATACACAAGTGGATCATTTTTGTGAGTATGTATCATTTTATAATATTATTTGCATTCTTTGAAGATACTGTATTTATTCATTAAAATATTTATGATTTAAGAAATGAACATCAATGTCGTGAATTATGCGAAGAAGCTGGTATATGCAAAGTACTAATTGAACCAAAGAAGCAAGAGGAAATTTATAAAGGATTAGTTGAAGAAACTTCTATTACATTTACTAAGGTATAGTATAATTATGTGATAAGCTTTTGAGGTTGCTATAAAAATCACGTCGCGGATCATGTTTTACTTAGCAAAATAGGTGTATTAACTTTTAGTGTTTAATTTATTATCATAATAGTATATTCAATTAAGTGAAAGGTTGAGATGTAACAAAAGAATTCCTCCAAATGCATTTAAGCATACTGGAAAACATACGCATCATGCAAGCGACGACCTTACACAAAATGGTTTTCATTTTTGTGATGTAAAATGTCAATTCTGTGAATATTTTGTATGTATCGTAAAAAAAAAAAAATTACTTTTGTATCTTATACTAAATACATTACTTTATAATTAGTGTACATTACCCTATGGACACACACAAAATCATAACACAAGTCATGGAAATATGATACAAACCGAGTTCACCGGAGAAGATAATGAATTTGAATATGCAGGGTATATTCAATTAGGTTTATTAATAATTAAAATTATTTTTATTCTATTATTAAATCATTTTTAATTAGACATAAATTAAGAGTTGGAGATCAAGGAACTTTTGTTCTTTGTAACATGGTATGTTACTTCTTAAATTTCTTTATATATACTGTTGCGACTTTAATTTAAGAAACTTCTGCATTAGTTTTGTAAAGAGTTAGGAAGACACCGTCATATTAGTTATTGTCAAAGCCAAGATATTTGTCAAGGACAAGATATCCAGCATATTGAAGGTAATTTAAACGTTTATTTTTTAAATATAAAAACATTTATGATTTACTTTGTAATAAATCGTAGAACAAGTAAAGCCCAATCCTAGAAAACCAAAAGATTTCATTTCTCACAAATTGTTCTGGGAACGAACGGGTTTCAAAGGTATATATACAATTACTGTATACTATATATATATACATATATTTATTTTATTTAAAAATTTTAGATCCTTATTCTGCTCAAGATCAACAAGAATTTACAAAATGTGATCATGAATGTCCTGATGAAAAGCATCACAAATCTAAGGGATCTACAAGCAAATTGCTAAGTAAATCGTTTTGCGAATTACTCCTTTTTCATGCTCAACTTGATCCAAATTCAAATCCACCTGATGATAATGGATATATTTCCAAAGACGGACATCATTTTCTTTGTGAAAATCCAAGTCCACTTGCCGCTTTTCATATTATCTTTGTCTTGGATCGTTCACGTTCTATGGAATGGTTAATTCAAGGAGACTCATTTTCAACATTTTTTAAGAAATGGGATCATAATGATAATAATAATAGGCTTAGCGCAGTATATCATGCGGTATAATTAAATATTTTAGCAATGTCTTTGCAAGACATTAGTCTTAATCATTAATTTTTAACTTTTTTTCATTAGGTGTATGAATTTATGAAATCACGTATAAATAATATTCAAACAAATCAATATCAAGCCATTCATGATAAATTATCATTGATCTTATTTAATGACGAGGTTTGATTTTACGTGCATTAATCTTAGATTTAATTAATTTTATATACCAATTATTTTACGTTAAATAATTAAAGGTTTTCGTTCCGTTTGAGAATCAAGATCTAACTGATCCGGAGAAATTGTTTGATATAATGATAAAAAACAAGCCTGGTGGTGGAACAAGTTTCAAAAGAGCTATTAATAAAGCTGGATCTTTGATTTCATCTCACTATGACCACTCAAGGTATTATTAGTTTTGAACTAAAAAAAGTAATTTAGAGTTTTTAGCATAACTTATAATTTTCTCACTATTTTAGAACAAATGTTATTATCTTCTTATCTGATGGGGAAGATGATGTCCCAGGAAGGCAACTTCATGATATCTGTAAAGAAAACCAAACAAGAGGGCAATTATTTTTAAATTCATACAGTATATTGTAACGTTATTTAATTTGAAACCTAATTTTTCTTTGGAACTTACAGATCCCCATTATATCTCTATACAGTATTATTTGGCAACGAATCAGCCACTTCCTCCTTAGAAGAAATGGCAAATATCGCGCACTCTTATCATACTAATAATAAATCATCCGGTGATCTACGTTGTCAATTTACTCGAGTCATCGATGAGAATATTTTAGTAAATCATTTTACAAATGTGGCAGTAAGTTTAAGAGAACATAAGCCGACTTTGTTAAAGAAGGAGGTAGTTACCAAACATATTTAATTCTACTTGGAGGTTGTTAAGGATCTATTATATATCTATTTATATTTGTCATTTTTTAAAATTTTATGATTTGACGGTTATTCTTCAAAATCAAACCAACAAATAAATCATTTCTCAATATAATTTTTTTTTAATTACTTTTTTATGCTTGCCTTGATCTTAACTTTTTCTTGGATAATTTTCCAATACGAACTGAAAAAAAAAAATCAATCTGAACCGAAAACTACGGTTAATTAAAAAAATTATTATTCCTTGAATTTTTTTTTTTCATCAATATTTAAAATTTAGTAACATCTTTTAAATGCTTATATAAAATACTTTCTTAAGAAAAATTATTAAATATTTTAATAGAACCTTAATGCAGCCTTACATAAAAGTAAAATCAAAGCTCAACTTGGAAAATAAAAAAAAAATTGAATCAATTTGTTTTTTTTACAATCGATTTTGTCCATATTGTATTCTGAGTCAATATGAATGATTTAAATAGCTATTTTGCGTTATATGCAATAGTTATTTCATGGTACTAACGAACAGGATAAATTATTACGTAATAATTGGTTATAAAAGTAACAAAATTAAACGCGACAAAAATACTGGACAGCCGTTAGCATTTTTAAGTCGATTAGTCGTCGACGTCGTCGACTAAGTCACGGCTGATATTTGAGATTAACGACCATAATTGTATTATTAATATCTTAACATTTAACAAAAATTTAATTAATGTTGCAAAAAAGTATACAATTATAAGTTTCATCATAAATAAGTTGTAAGAATCACATTTGAATAAACTCAGTCACGGCTCAGTCATTGAAAATTCCGGAGTCGACTCAACTTGATATTTACAGAGTCGACTCAGCCGTCGACTCAAACTCCAATTGCTGGTACAAATTCCGAGCGAATAAATAATAGGATTTGTTTATAAATGTAATGTAAGTATTTATTTTCACTATAAATACGAATACTTTCGCAATTATTTTAGTTTAAATAATTCTTCTATGACAAAATTATAATAAAAAGAACGATTGGAGCTATCGATAATTAATCGATTCGATTAAATGAAGTTTCTTTATTCTACTATGTGGCCAATTCTCAACTTTTAAATTCAATTTCTTATATTTTTGATAATTATTTTAAGTAAATATTTATCTAAATGTAGTGAATTTGTCTCTTCTTTCCAAATGAGTATACTTTAAAATTACTAAGAATACTAGCTCTTTGTATATTTTATAAATAATTAAATTTTAGACAGTTATTAATTTTAATATTGAACGCAAATAAGCTACTAATTTATATTATATGATCAATGCAATGCAAAATAAAGTATATTATGAAAAAATATAGGTCAAACAACTCAGCATGATTCTATAGGGCCGTGCGATAAATATAAATAAAAGAAACAAGAGGTATAGGAGACGTGGAGGGATAGATTTTTCAGGGGTTAACACAAAACATCTACAGTACAGGAATTGTCCCCAGATAATTAAAGTTGATATTTTTAATTTGTTTTTTTATTTTCTTCTCGGCTAGCATACATTTGAACAAGTTTGCTTGCTTTTTTTTGAAAATAAGCTTCGTGTTGATACTGATAATACACTTTTGAAAATATAATTAATTTCACCAAAACATAACTTCGTAAAATCGAGCGCACACTTATTCCAGAAATACACGAGTTCTCTGAAGAAGAGAAGCTGAAAATTTTCTAGATACATTTATAAACAAGGTAATAAATTTCATTTACATGTTGCTGGCAAGCATATGCATACTGCAGTAAGTCATCAAGTTATTTTATATTTTGTCAGACGAACTTGAAGGAAATCTGACAAATAATAAAGGAAGTAAGTTTTGACATTGATTATGATTGTGAGAAGCATCACGATATTGATTACATAATATATGCCTTGCATTTCATGCATTATAAGTAACAATTTTACTTTTATCCTTGTGACTGTCTTTGCGTGTCGTCAATGAATTGACCGAAAACTACTTACAGAGTGAGATAAATTGAAATGGAAACTCACGGGCATAGTCTTGAAAACTGGCTTAATTGTCATTCATGTATGTAATATGGTCTTTGACCAAGCTTTCTGAGATGTGAAGACTATAGCTGTTGTCAGGTATTTTTTTTTTAAAAAAAGTAGCTTTTTTGATGCGATGAGGTTTCTTTCTTTTAATTATCAAGAGGTGAAGGCGCAAGTGTATCAACAGCGACACCAAAAAATAAAAAAGCGAAAGAAAATCGGGGACATCAAAAATTTGTCACAGAGAATTCTTAGGACTGTTGGTAATGAGGTAATAGTTGGGTAGACAAATAAGGAACGAAGTATCTTAGGGAAGAAGGGCTAAAACTTCCTAAGACGCTTGAGACATGTTATTAAATTTAATAGGAAATATAAGTTGTAACAAAGAGATGCTTAAAAAAATACAGGCAGTAGGAATTTTTTATTGAGGTATGACAGATTATGATTTTCACAAGAATATTTCAAGTGTTCATTGTTAATCAATATCTTAATTTTTTATAATAGGCCTTATGATGACGTAGTATAGTATACAGTGTTGGCAAATGACCTTTGACCTTGAAATGACCTCATTTTTATTATTAATTTCAAGTCTAAACGACCAAAGTCATATAAAAAATAGTTACAATTTGCAATCATTTTATATGCTGATTGTCTAATAGGTTACATCTGCAGATTTCGACGTAGTTTTTTGATGGAAATGCTTGATATTTTTCACGATCCTTGCATCCGTCTCGAATACAAAGGTTAGATTAACACTTTTGTTCTATATATGTATGTTTTGACATACCAAGCTGATGTGAAGATTCATGTGTTGTTAAATTAATGACTTTAGCTTGATCTTTTTATATTTTGCCAATAATGCGATGCATTGAAAAAAATAAAAAATATCGATTATTGCATAAATGCGCAGTTCATTCCGAAATGACCATTGGGTGCACCCATTGAGATATAATGATATTTTACATTTGTGATGTATGTGTATTTACATTTTTAAAATAATTTAATTAACGTTTGTTTTATTTTTTTTTTTTATTATTTACATGTATGAATTATAAGTTATTATTTAAAACAAAGATGTACAAAAAATAATATTTATATTTGATTAAATTTGTCTTTCAATAATTGAAAAGAATAATAAATTATTTTTTTCTATGCAGACGCTTAATAATGACCACCACTTTAAGCAATTTTTAATGTAACCTTCCTAGCAGGAGTAAATCATAAACAGAGAAAAATTTAAGGAAAAAATATGTTGAGGAAGCTTTATACCATCCACTCCAGGCGTAGAAACCACGGCAACCTTCGGTCTTCGAAAGAATCAACCTGTTAATTGCATATTCTAAGACATATTCGAAAAATAAAATTCGAATCAAACACATATTCGAATATACTTTCAAACTAGATTTCGTTAATGATCTCCTAGTAACCATTAATGGAAAAATGGCTATCTTTCGGCTTCCAACACAGGCAGGCTTCTCAACATTTGCAAAGGGATGTAAGTCAGTCCTTAAAGCTTCGGCAGATCCGTCTCTTCAATCCCTTTATTACGAAATAAAATGTTTATAATATAAATGGAATGTAATGAATTTTTCGCAAGGAAAGAGTAATCACTCTTACGCCGTTACAAATTAGAGAATCATAAGAGTAAGTTTACAAGAATAATCACAACTTTAACGATCATTTAACACACATCATGAAAATTTTTATTTTTTTTTTTTAAAAAAAATTGAAAACTACATCTGTAAAATAAATACTGAAGAGAAGAATAAATACATAAAAAAATTTTTAACAAGTTCAAAACGAAAACTTTTTTTAAACAAAAGCATAATTACATCAGAAAGATACATTTAAATAAACGAGAATGATATATTATGTATATTATGACCCGTTTCTTGTGATTTCTCCAAAAAATAAAAAACATTTTAAAATAATCCTCCACTGTTATTGCAGTTATAATTAAATCATTTGATAAACTCCAAGGCTAATGGAAAGATAAGATTCCCAAAAGAGTGTGAAATTTTTTTTCCAAGACCTTATTATATACCAACCGTACATAATATAGTAATAAAGATAAAATGATTACCAATCTTATACCATATGTAAGTGTGAGAAATAATGAAATGCTGTATAATGATGATTTCAAAGAAATTCAAATAGAGTTATCTCTCACTATTGAAACGGTCATGAAAAAACTTGGGCAAATATCAACCAGAGCATGGAAAAAGTTTGCTTTTGAACGTACTGAGACAACTTTAGATATTCCTACTACGAAGTCAACAACTTGAAAATTCTCTGGCAAGTTGACCATGGGCTTTCTATCCATAAAAATATTAATCAGCAGTTGTTTTTGGACGATCTAACATTTACAATAATTATGTAGACTTGTTGACTTTTATTCTAAATGTGTGATCCTTAGATAACAAAGAAGAAAGAAAAAGAAGAGGTGATTCCTGATTTATTAAAAAGAGGTTAAATATATCTCCTAGAACATTTGATTTTTATAGTAAATTAATCATATATAAAAAGTTAATAGTAATGACAAAATTTGCATTTGAATGCGAAAATTGTCTTCAATTGATGATATTTCATCTTTGAATCAATAAAATCATATTCAAATGCGAAATTCATCATTAATTGATGAAATTCACTTCGATAGATGAAATTCATCATGAAATTCATCATTGATTGATGAAATTTTGCCTTCGAATGACAAAAATCACCTTCAAAATAATAAATTCATCTAAAATTAGTGAATTTCACTTTTAAAATAAAATACATCTTTGAATTTATAAAGTTACACTTTGAATGCGAAATTTACTTCGATAGATGAAAATCAACATTGAATTGACGAAATTTCACAAAAATCACCTTCGAATGTGAAATTCATAATGAATTCGTTACTAATTAACGAAATTTATAACAAAACAAATCGTTAATAAAATTCGTAAAATGAAAATGTAACAAAATGAATCATTTACAAAA